ACACTCTTTTTTTTTTTATTGCTATCTGATCATTCTAATTGTAGAAAACTTAGAAATACAAGAAAGATGGGGACCAGCAGGTGGCATGGTGGTTAAGGTGCTGGACACTCCCACAGGGCTGACCACAGTTCAAGTCCCAGACCTGGTGCCTTTTTTTCTCACTTTCCTTCTCTCTTCCTCTTTGTGTCTCTCTCTGATCAAATTAAAATAAATGAATAACTAAATTGAAGAAAAATTTAAATTATGTTACAGCAACTTAAAAAGAAAGAAATATAAGAAAGAATAAAAAATAAGATAAAAAAATCATCTGTCTTCTTACTACCACAAATAAACATTATTAATACTTGGCAAAGTGTCCTTTCTATCATAACCAGTTCATATAAAATGTCTTTCATAGAGGAAGGTTGAACCTACAAGAATACCATGTTCGGGAACCAGCAGTTAGCGTAATGGCTATGTCGCTGGACTCCCACGTAGTCGACCGCGGTTCGTGTCCCGGACCCGGTGGCTTAAAACTCACGCCGGGCATGTGTGCGTGCATGCCCAAGATCCCGAGAGGAGAATGGAGGAGAAGGGATTGCGGCGTGACCATCCCCCCTGGGGGGTGATTTCTCGCTTTCTGTCTCTATGTCTCTCTCTGTCTGTCTGGCGAGCGCACGCGCCCTACAGTGAAAATCTCTCCAAAAAAAAAAAAAAAAAAAGAATACCATGTTCTACTCCACGTCACTTTGTCTAGTCTCCATGGAGCCCAAGAAGGTATGTCAGGAATGCACCGCAGTCCTGATCCTGAACATCTGCATCACCAATCTGTGATAAATTTCACTTAACATAGTGCTGTCCTATGATCCCATTCAGAGTGTGATGTGGGAGCCATAGACACCATTTCTGCTGAGTAAAAGTAGACTGATATAGCAACACATATGTTATCCCAAATTTTAAGGTCATTGGCTCATCACAGCCACTAGTGATAGACAGTTAAAGAGTCGTACTTAGACTGCTCAGATGTCAGGGTCACAGGCCTACTCTGGTTTTTAGTAATCCCTAGGAATTTGGGGTATGACTGTCAAATGCCATCCTTTAGGGGAAGAAACCACAGCTGTTGGTCCTGTGATCACAGACCCTGTCCTGGCTTATGTCAGCTCTGACACACATTGCATTACAAAAACCACCCTCAGTTTCACACTCTGAAGCTTCTTGAGATTTTAGAAGTCTGCTCTTCATCCCCACAGTGAAGCAGAGATGGTATTTGAAATAATCCCATCATCCTTAAAAATAACTTTTGACGATCTGAATTGAAGTAGAGTTTTTCCGTAGGTTTGGCAGGATTTCCATTTCTAAGATTAGATACAGTATTTTCCCCAAGCTTTGGGCCTCCCCCAAGAAGAGGAACAAGACCCTTTCCAAAACCTGGATGTCATAGTCTATGCCAGAGGATGCAGAATCAAATCACTGTTTTTAATCTCACTTATTATATTGGGCCCTCACATGATTTCCTCCATCTTCGCATACCGAGGATGTTGTTGTCCTAGACAACTGCATACCAAGTTGTCTAGGACTCAGGGTGGGAAGGGGGATTTTTATACACAGAAAGGCTGAAAAATGCAAATTCTATGATTTATATATCAAGCTCTTCTACGGCAATATTTAAATAGAATCCAATTTTAAAGTATTTGATTTACACACTTTTTATTTTTTAACTTTTGTTGGAGTACAGGTTTATTCGCCCGGGGAGGGGGTGAGAAAGCACCCCCTTTCTCCCACTGGGAATGATCACACCATGATCCCTTCTCCTCTGTCTCTTCCCTTGGGATGTTAGGCAAGCATGCACATGTGTCCAGCATGTTCCTCAAGCTGCCAGGTCCAGGACTAAACAGTCGGTCATGTGGGATCCAGCTGCCCTAACCACCACGCCACTTGTTCCACTCTTTTTTTTTTTTTTCTTCTTCTTTTTTTAAAAAAGGATACTTTCCAGGGAACCAGCAGTTAGCATAATGGCTATGTTGCTGGACTCCCACGTAGTTGACCGCGGTTCGTGTCCCGGACCCGGTGGCTTAAAACTCACGCTGAGCGCGTGTGCGCGCGTGCCCAAGATCCCGAGAGGAGAATGGAGGAGAAGGGATTGCGGCGTGGCCATCCCCCCTGGGGGTGATTTCTTGCTTTCTGTCTCTCTGTCTCTCTCTGTCTGTCTGGCGAGCGCACGCGCCCTATAGCAAAAACCTCTCAATAAAAAAAAAAAAAAGAAAGAGGATACTTTCTGCATATGCTTTGGATTGTTTTCCAGGAGCAGAAGTGGATTTGCTTAGTATCACTACGGACAAATCCAAGTCACTACATGCCTCTGCTGATGTCAGGAGGAGGCAAACTCTCAGATTATTTCCTTCTCTTAGATGTGGATCTGAAATAACAGGAGAGTAAAGAATAAAAAGTGAAATCACTTCATCTCTTAACATAATTTCCTGCATGGATTATTCATCCTAGGGAACAAAGTGGAGCTGAAGAGTGCCTAGGGCCTACACCACTGTCATCAAAAGGAACCTCTACTTATTTTTGTGAGTCTCACTCCTAATTACTAACCAATAACTCAAATCCTTTCTCTTTGATCTCTTTATTACTTTTGCAGTCCCACCTTTATGAAGTTCACTACATACACTCTTCACTATACTTTAGTATCTTTATTTTCCACTAGCATCTTAATTGTCCTCCCCAAATGCAAATTTTATGATTTACGTATCAAGCTCTTTATTTTAATATTGCTTGCCACATGAAATCCTTTTAAGTATAAATTCCAAATAAGTGAGAAGTATAAATAAATCTAGTTACAGTGATGAGATCCGTTGGAAGGATAACTAAGATCTACGTCTCTGCTCCAGAAACTGTCCAGAAAGCATCTTTTAGAACATGAAACCTTTAAGCAAGAGAGTACAAGGGTTCTCAGTAAGACAGGTATAAAGGTGTACTTAAAAGAAACAGGGGATCATAAAAGAGCAAATGATGGAAAGATACACGGCTTTAAGATTGCTTCTCTCTTATGCTGCAGATTTCTAAATATAAACATTTTTGTGGTATAGGACCAAAGAAAAGGTCAGCTATTGCTCAGGAAGTTCTCTGGTTCTGAGTTGGATTAAGATTGAGATATTTGAGCTTTCAACATTTTCTAAGAAAAACATTAGTTTCCTTCTAAATCAGGTCTGTGGACGTTTCCACAGATATTCTTTTTTTTTTTTTTGGTTTGTTTGTTTTAAGAGATATTTTTGCTATAGGAAAGTCAAAGAGAGACAGAAAGAAAGAAATCGCCCCTCAGGAGGATGGTCACACCATGATCCCTTCTCCTTTCAGGATTTTGGGCACATACACACACACGTGCCCTATGTGAGTTTCAAGCTGTCAGGTCTGAGACTTGAACCATGGTCGGCCGTGTGGGAGTTCAGCAACATAACCATTATGCCATTTGCTGGTCCCCACAGTTATTCTTAAGATCAGTATTCAGAAATCCAGATGCTCCAACTCCAGGGAGATGGTTGGAAGGCAAAACAAAATAAAAAGAGATGCTGGGTGGAGGATTCGCTTTCTCTTCTACCATACCAGGCAGGTCCGAGAGAGAATGGTGCCTTCAATTTAACCCTTTACTACTCCTGAGAAATGTGCCTTACTTGTCGGAAACTCTTCATACCAAGAAACCCTACTGCCCTGGTTTTAGTTACTGTTTCAAAGCAGAAAATAATAAAAGGTAGGTGTTATATGGAACGGACATCACTAATTGTTGTCACAAAGGAAACATAAGAATATCAGAACATATGGTTCCAACCTTCCAAAAATAACCAGAATCTATGAGATGAACCAACAATGGTCTTAACACAGACTTACTTTTTTTTTTTTTGGAGAGGTTTTTGCTATAGGGCACGTGCACTTGCCAGAAAGACAGAGAGAGACATAGAGACAGAAAGCGAGAAATCACCCCCCAGGGGTGATGGCCACGCCGCAATCCCTTCTCCTCCATTCTCCTCTCGGGATCTTGGGCACACACGCACATGCGCCGGGCCCAAGTTTTAAGCCACCGGGTCCGGGACGCGAACCGTGGTCAACTACGTGGGAGTCTAGCGACATAGTCATTATGCTAACTGCTGGTTCCCTCCATACTTTTTTTTTTTTTTTCAATTGCGGGTGGGTGCATGCCTCAATGGAGCATGTAATCAATCTGCAGTCCTTTTTCCTGCATTTCTCTATCCTGTCAGGATTTGGGGCATATATGCTTAGATACCCAGGATGATTTTTAAGCTGCCAGGGCTGAGATTAGAACCATTCTCAGTCATATGGGATCCAGCTCTCTTAACCACTGTGCTACAGAGCTGGCCTGACCTACTTCCTTAATAGGCAGAAAGTAAGCTGAGGAGACAGGTCTTTCTTCCTAGGTTCCTGACTTCTTGGCTGCTGTGTGATTTCATGTAACTCCTGATCGGCACTCATCACCTGAGGCAGCCACCTAATTTGAACACCTATTACCCATGAAGCTATTGAATTCATTGACTCTACCTTGATCACCAAATAGTCAACTTAATGGTCCCTCAAACACAAAGTACTGAGAAGAGTGCAATAAACAACAATAACAACAAAAATAATTCTCAATGAAGTAAATCCAAAGACAAAAGGCAAAATAGAGGGGGCTCTGCTTTGCAGTGGGGATGTGAACAACTAAAAGGAATGCATGAGTCTTCAAAAGGTTCATGGAAAGGACGTATTATGAAAAGTACTACTATGTACGGATTTCAAATATTTTTGCACAAAAATAACTTCATACTTCAATTTCATTTTATTATGAACTTTTAAAAGTCTTCTCATATATCATGTGAAATGTGAATATCTTGTGCTCTAAAAATTCATCCTTTATGCCTAATCCCCTCTAATTCCCCAAGGCTGCTGCCCTATCCCTGGGGCAGTGCCCTTGGCCAAGAAGCGCTCTCCTGGCCCCCATGTCTATGCCCCACCTCCCTGCCAATCTCTACCTCGATGGTATACTGCTCAAAGATGCGCAGCTGCAGGAAGATGTCCAGCTTGATCTTCCGCTCATGGAACAGCTCCTCCATCTGCACCTGGGCGTCGTCAAGCTGCTGCAGGACCGACTCGATATGGCTGATGGAGCTACTGTGGGGGGCCTTGTTACTGGACACAGCCGAGTCCCTGTAGCAGAGTTGGGATGGGGGGAAAGGAGGAAGAGGTCTTGCCATGTTAAAAATGACAGAGAAGGAAGGGGAGCTTCCTCATTCAAGCAAGGTAGATGTGAATCAGTTGAACAATTCAATAAACAGAGGCTTAAACTCCTACTGTAAGCCTGATACTACCTGGTTAGTAGGTGAACCAAAGACATGTACATCCTCTCTTGGGTTCACAACTCTGTATTTCCAAGACTAGCTGCTCTCCTCTTCCTCAGGCAGAACTGTAAAAGGGTTCAAGTGAACTAACATACAAGGAAGGTCTCTACAAAGCATAAAATATTAGAGAATGGAATGGATCCATACGTAGGCACCAATTAGTAGGTATCTTTTTTTTTTCTCTTTTTTTTTTAGAGAGCGATTTTTGCTATAGGACATGTGCACTTACTGGAGAGACCGAAAGCAAGAAATCACCCCCTGGGGGAATGGCCATGCTGCAGTCCCTTCTCCTTCATTCTTCTCTTTGGATTTTGGGCATGCAAGCACATATGCCTGACATGAGTTTTAAGCCACCAGGTTTGGGACTTGAACCATAGTCAACTACGTGGGAGTCCAGTAACATAACCGTTATGTTATCTGCTGGTCCCTAGGGATAATTCTAACACATACATACATGTAGGTAGACAATACATAAGGCAGGAAAATTAACGGTATACACACACACACACACACACACACACATAGAAATTCCTAGTTTTACTTCACAAGATTGTTAAAATAAGATGACATCAGGCTGCCAAAATTATTATCTATTTTATTTTACAATTCTATGTCAATGTTATGGGTTGGTGTTACTAAACAGGCTTCATCCAAGCTGTAGTTAAGAAAGCATGGGATCTGTAGTGTATAAACGTTGATCAGGTCCCAGCTCCGCTATATATGAGGGGGCTTCAAAAAGTTCATAGAAAAGTGGATTAAAACCACAAGTTTGTCTTAATACAAAAAACTGTTTTGAAATCCATGCATAGTTTTTCATATTACACATTCTCCATGAACTTTTTGAAGAACCCCTTGAGTCCCCCACCCAGTTAGTTCACCTGTAAGGTAGACGTAATCACTCCTCCCTGCTCACTTCACAATTTGCTCTGAAATAAGGCCGTGTGTGTGAACTGTGACCAGGAATGCATTGGTTAATGATTATTAACCCTGAAAGGATGCAAGTAAAGTGCCAAGTGCTGATTGGGGCACAGGCCTAACCTGGAAGCATACAGGCTAGGTCACAAGAGACAGTGACAACCAACAAAGATTTCAGAGGATGCATTTTGATTTGGGAGCTTGTAAGTGATGATGGATGGAGGTGTGGTCTCCAGGCAGAAAAGGGTCTATACAAAAGTGATAGAGGGAGGAGTCACGTTGCAGAGGGGAACCAAGAGACAAAAAGATTGACCTCCCTAGATAAAGGACGTGGTGGTGGTGTAAACTTCAACAGGATTATTATATAGGAAAATAAGGGAGGTAAAAAAGCTTCGATTCTATAGGACCTTGAATAAGTTAAAGTCCCTAAAACTTGAACTAAACTAGCACATTTATTATCTTGGGACATTTTGGTTTCTTTAACAAGTTAAAAAGTCAGAGAACAAGGGGGGAAATAATTTGTTTTGACACCTCTCCTCAGCAGGCTTTCCGCAAGCCAGGTCCTTTGAGCCTGTGCTTGTTTCAGAAACGATGGTATCTGAGTGAGTTCATACGGTCCATTAATGAAGGCAGAACAGTATGTCAAGCACCTCTCCCTCTATCATGCAGAGAGCTCCCATTCCTACCTCCTCACCCTGGCCTATTTGGCATAAAAAAGGCATGATCTCAACCCCCCCACCCCGTGCATGGACATTCCCAATCCTAAGAACAATGTGGAGATGTACTGAGAATGGTGTGTTATGTACTTGTGGCGAGTTTGCAGCCAGGAGGCTGATTGTGACAGTTCCTCTCCACCTTTCTCTGTTACACAGCTTCCAGAAGGGAGAGACTGATTTCTGACCATTCTGAACAGCACCTATGTCAGTGTCACACTCACTAAGAATTACAGAGATGGTGCAAAACCACCTAAGGAGCTCCAGTGATTAGCGTCAGAAGAATCATGGAGACCCAGAGAAGACATGTGTTTCTGGTGGGTGTCAGGCATCCTGCCAAGGTCCACGAGGCCCCATTTGCTTCTTTTTCTCTGTGACTGGGCCCAATGAGCTGAGGCTAGAGTGGAGCTCGAGGAAGAATGAATGGTGACTAGTAGCTCTTTGTGACACACCTAAAAGCCATGGGACTGAAACTTGCATGACAGGCATCACTCAATCATTGCCTTCACCATCACCCAGACATTATGCCCCAGGCACTGTGCAAGGTTGGCGGTTGTTAAGAGCAAGTGGCATTGCCATAAGCCCAGCTCATGGAGAGTGAAGCCAGCCGAGCTTATGAGAAGCATTTGATGGGATAACACACAGCCATCACACAATTCTAGAGCTGACAGAACTCCTACTGTGAATCCCTTAATTACATAGACAAAACAGCTGAGGCCCAGAGAGGTTAAGTGACTGCCCACGATTTGAAATTTTCTTCAGAAGCAAATGACAGTGGAGTTTCCTAGGTAGGCAGACAAAATAGTCATGTATTATATATTCATGAAGATGAATTGGGAGAGAAGAGAAAGCAACTGTCTTGTTAGTATGCAATATGAGGATTCAGAATATCTCATGTGCATGTTTGGAATAGGAATTATTAATTTCCAATAGAATACATGCCAAGGACTTCTAAAGGTAATTTCTCATTGTTTATTTAATTGGACAACTGGTATGGGGGAAATAAAGCCCTCTCCAATTGAAGTAATTCCCTCAGGCTCCAGGGCTGGCCTGGGACTTGTTGATGAGATTATTTCTGTCCACATCTGGCAGAGGTCCCAGCGTTCAGTAATTTGGCGATAGGAACGGGTCCCTGTGGGCAGGCATCATTAGCACCATCAAATCCTATTTACACAGCACCTGGGCATGGTGCTGGTTGCTGAGGGCTTGCTCAAGGCCTTGTGACACTTTATCTGTGGAGCCAGTGCCCTTGACAGGGGCAGGAAACTAGAAATTGATGCCAGTAGAAAGGAGGAGATGCGGCAGGTAATTCTAAATGAACGTTGAGGTTTTAGACAGGATTTTCCTTCATAGTTATGTTTGTTTAGGTTGATAGAGAATAAGTTTTAATTTTCTGAGCAGTAAGGAATGGTGGGATGCTCATGGGCAGGTAATGGAGAGCTGGGTGGGATAAATCCCCACATTTTCTACCTCCTTGTGGGGCCAAAGCCAAATGTCAGCAAAATGTGACCAGTAGAGCACTGGAGTTCAGAGTTCAGGCTAAGGTCTGATGCCAAACCCTATACTTCATAATGTCTGTTTCTCCGGATGACCAAATATGCCATATTTCTCAGTGAAAATGCTATTTATTTTTTGCTGAATTTTGTGAATTTTGTTATAGTTCTGTTACTTATTGATAGCCGAATAACATCATAATGATAAATAATGCTTTAGACATTAGAGCTTTTTCATTTACTATTTCATTTTAAATTCAAGTTGGGTATGGTGTAGGCATTGTTATGTCTTACAGACAGAGAAACTGAAGCTCACACAAGACCACAAAGCGGGCTATGGCTGAGTCAAGACTGGGACATGACTTATCTTGTGTCTAGCCCGAGGAATTTCCCACTGGAAAGCACTGCCCATGCTGACCTGGCCTCGCTGGGCTCCCCCAGGGAGGGAGGCGCTGACCTGAGCTGCTGGATAAGGTCTTCTCCTTCCTTGATGACATTGAGTGTGGCGTCCAGGGTGGCAGTCTGCTGCTGCTGGAACTGTTTGATCAGTTCCTGGACTGCATCCACAGAATCTGCACAGACATCCTCCAGCATCTCCTTCTGAAGGTCTTCCATCCATGTCCACAGCTGCGGGGAGAGAGTAGAGACTGTACTCTGGGCAGATGTGTAAGGCAGCACTGGGGGAGAGCCAGAAGGGCCCACAGGACAGCCCACCTCCTCTCAGCCAGTAGGGCAATGTCAATGCCCTTCTCATCAGCACACCGGAGGTCCAGTTTGTGATTCTGTATTTATATTCACCACCCATCTGTCCTACGTTTACTCCACTAGTGTTGACACTCCCTATGGACTGGAACGAGCCTTGGATTAACTTCTTGTGGTTCAAGAAAACAGCTGTGTTTTTGTTTTGTTTTAATTTTGACAGTAGGCAAGTATACTCACTGGAGAAAGACAGAGAGAAAAAGAGAGAGAAAGCAAGAAAGCACCTTCCGTGGGGTGTGGTCACACCATGATCCCTTCTCCTCCATCTCTCCCACCTTTTAGGATTTTGGACACAAACTCACATGTACCCCTGTGTTTCTTAAGCCAGTGGCTCTTTACTTGAACCACATACTCAGGCATGTAGGTCTAGCTGTCTTGACCATCAGGCTATGGGTTGGTCCCAACCGTGGTCTTATAACAGTAAGATTACTCATCTTTGAGAGACAAGGAATAATAAGAGATTGAAATGAATACATACATACACACACACACACGTATATTTATGTATTCAGTTCTTCTTCTTCTGAGAGAGATAGAGAGATAGAGAGACTCCCCAGGAGAGTTCTACCTCCAGCTTCAACCACCCTGAATCACAGGCATGTGCACGCCTGGCACACTCAGAGATCTCCAGATGCCTTCTGATGTGGGTCAGCCTTGCATGGCATCACATTTTACCACCGTGCCACCAGCTGGCTCCTGAAAAATATTATTTCATCTTTCAGAAAACGAGAAAATGGAGAACTGCGGTTGGCCATGTGAGCGTCCAGCACTCTTAACCACCATGCCACCTGTCGGCCCCCATAAGTATGAAGTTTTGAACAAAGTAAGCACTAGAAATGATAAGAAGTTGCAATGAATGACTAAAAACTCATTTACTGATAAACAGGTCTCCAGTGGTCTGCTGCAAGGTTCTACTTTGACTCCTTCTCTCCCCCCGAGAGAGTGAGTGTGTGTGTGTGTGTGTGTGTGTGTGTGTGTGTGTGGAGGGGGGCAGCAAGCAACTCCAGTAGGGCATGTTTATAACATAACTCTTTATCCTCCATCTCTCCTTCTCATCAGGATTTTATAACATAACTCTTTATCCTCCATCTCTTCTTCTCATCAGGATTTGGGGCATGGCATGTTTTTTTTTTTTTTCAATTCAGCAGGGCCAAGATTCAAACTGGGCAGCCATGTGAAATCTGGCTTCCTAAACACTATGTTATGGGCCTGGTCCGTTCTTGGACTACTTTTATTGAGCATTTTCATAAATGATGGAGGACAAGATAAGTGTGATACTTGCTTTGAAATGAGAAATTTCCTCCTGGCTAGAAGGAAAGATAAAGTCAGGGGTGCTCCTGGAGGGGGGAGGACATAGAAGGAGAAAACTGATAGTCCGAAGGTATGAATTTTTGCCCATGTGTTCCCGTAACTCATGGTACCTTTGGGCAAATCACTGTACCCTTTAATCTCTTGACTTCATGTGTAAAGTAGCCTGGGAAAAGCATAAAATTAAATGGTTAATTATCTCTGGTTCTCATATCTTTAAATTTTCCATGTTAAAAACATAGGTAAATATCTCCCTCAATAATAGCACTTCAGGGCTTGCCGTCATGGTCCAGTGGTAATGCAATGCTCTGTGATGCTGAGACCACATGGGAAGGTCCTGTGTTCACACCCTAAGGCCTCCCCGTACAAGCAGGGCATGCATGTCCATGCCCATGATCCTGGCTGGCCAAAGATAGGGATGGATCAGTGACAGGACCCTGCTGAGAGTGTCTCCATCTCTCATTTTCTCATGGAAGTAGTTAAAAAAGAATTTAAACAGGAAATAGAAAAAAATATTATTTAATCTCACTAGCTTTCAGTCTGATAAATCATGGTACATGGTACAGGTTTGGAACAAGGGATTAAGAAAAGAAATAATAGAGAGTCTTCATGATGTTGGACAAGTTATTCTTTGTTCTTTGGACAGGAGAGGTCCTAGATGTGGCAGAGGAGGTTGGCTTAATAAGAATAATAATAAGCTTTGAAACTGGTGATAAGAATGTTCTGGTATAGGTGAGTAACCTCCTGAGCCTCAGTTTCCTGTTCTACAAATTCGGAAGAACAAGATCTTCCCTAAGGACATCAGCGATTATAGGAACTGAATAGTTTACTTATTATTAGTGTTTTAAATAAACTTACAGCATTATTAACCAGCCTGCAGCATTGTGTTGACTGCCTCAGGGAATGTAAATGACTACTATTGAGTATCCCTGTCATCTATCAACTTGCAAATCTGGTTGTACCTCGTTCAGTTTATTTCCTTTCCAAATAGACATTTTGTTATAAAGACACAAAACAACTCTTCCAGATTATTTAAGCTGGATACACGTTCCCATAAGTATGAACGCTCTTATTTCAAATCAGTATGAAAACAGGAAGTGCAGGATATTGGTCACTATAGCTTAATGCCATTTCATACTTTCTGGCTATAATTTTTTTAAAAAGATTTTTGCCATAGGGCACATATGCTCGCCAGAGAGGAACAGAACAATTGAGAAATTACCGCCCCCACCTGCCAGGGCAGATGGCCACACTGCAATCCCTTCTCTTCCATTACCCTCTCAGGATTTAGGGCATGCACACACACATGCCTGGTGTGGTTTTTCAAGCCATTGGATCTGGGACTGAACCATGGAGTCAGCCTTTTGGGATCCAGTGCCTCAACCACCATGTCACCTGCAAGTTCTAATTTTGCTTAGAGAGAGGGAAAAAAAAAAGATTAAAAATGTGTTAAATTCTTTGGGTAAGAGATCATGGATCTGATAAATGGTTGTATGGAAAGGCAATATAGTGCAGTGGTTTAAGAGTTTCAAACCCTATTTCTGCCACATATGAGCTCTAATTTCTTAGCCTCTCTACACCTTGGTTTTCCTTATCAGCAAAAAAGGAGACACTAATAGGGCTTATTACCCTTATAGAGTTGTCGCAAAAATCATCAATACGTTGATATAGCAATATGTATATATTGATTTATCTATCTCACTTAAAAACAGTGCCTGACATCTAGTCAGTGCTACAAAAGTGATAGCTATTATTACTTTTAAAAGACATTTTGACTATAAGCCATCTCCATTTTCCACTAAAAGGTAGAAGACAACTTTGAAGTATTTTGAAGATTTTGGAGTTGGTAGAAGATCAACACCGGATTTGGTTCTTTGACATACTAGGTTTAGCTGAGCTTCTATTCTGTTTTTGCAATTTTGTCATAGGTTATGTGAGGAATCTAGAGATAAGAAAGCCTAGATACTAAAAAAATATGAGAAGAGAGAGATGAAAATTGTGGACATGGAGCAGATTATTTAAGAGACAAAAACTGATTAGAAGTCTCAACAGAGAACAGGTGGTGGGAAGGCACTGAGACCAAAGACTCAGAGCAAGGCTGGTACTCACTGTTACAGGAACAAGAGAGGGGGAAGGCACTTACAGGTATCTTAAGTATTTTATTGCATCTAAAACAATTTTTGCCTTAGTACCATAGTTAGGCTATTTTAGCAGCTTCTGACCTTGGTCGCTTCCTTGGTTTTTATCTCCCTGTGATGTAGGTCTAGAGGAGAAAGTCAGCATCCTTCTTTCTGAGGAAATGTACTGACCCACAGGACTCCCGCTCCTGGTAGCCATATAGTTAAACTGTAGGGACACCAAGGACAAAAACTGGCAAACGCGGGTAAACAGTGGCACAATGGTAAATGCAACGCTCTCTGAGGCAATTCCACATGGGAAGGTTCCTGTCTTGAGACTTCTCTGAGTATAGGTTCCCACCATTAAAGACTAGCTAAAGTCTGGGGGTGGATTCCAGTATCACCTGCTGAAGGTCCTCACTTTCTCTGTCTCTCCTGCTCTTGGAAGTAATAGATTAATAAATAAACAAAAAACACTGCAATAAAAAAGAGGTGTCAATACTGTAAACATAAAGTTTTCTTGAGAAAGAGCAGGGGCCTCTGAAGATACATGCTGACCTCTGAAGTCAATATAAAAAAAGAAAGCATGTCCTCCTCCAAATATTCTTTCTGTATTTTTTTTTTTTTTGAGAGATTTTTGCTATAGGGCATGCACGCTTGCCAGAGAGACAAAGAGAGACAGAAAGACAGAAAATAAGAAAAACCCCCCCCCCCCCGGTGGTGGTGGGGGAATGGCCATGCTGTAATCCCTTCTCCTCCATTCCCTTCTTGGGATTTAGGGCAGGCACACATGTGTGCCAGGCCAGAAGTTGAAGCCACTGTGGTCGACTATTTGGAGTTCAGTGACGTAACCATTATGCCATCTTCTGGTCTCCCAAATATTCTTTGATTAGTGAGCTGAAACATGACTTCTCAGATTTCTGTTTAAATATTATACTATTGGTGGGAACCAGCAGTTAGCATAATGGCTATGTCGCTGGACTCCCACATAGTCCGACTGCGGTTCACGTCCCGGACCTGGTGGCTTAAAACTCACGCCGGGCGTGTGTGC